TCCGTGGGGCCGAAACCAGCTGCATGCAGCAGATGTCGTAACCCCCCTTTTCCCAATCCCCCCCTTTCGTCTGGCCCGACCTTAGGGGGCCCCCAAACGGGGTGGTGACCACACCGTGCGGCAAGTCGGTGGGGACTCCGGGGTCACCGCACGGTTTCGGGGCTCGGGTCCCTCTCCGAGGACGCCTCGGGCACCCGGGGCCTCCGGGGTCCCTAAGACCGTCCGGCCCGAGAAGCAAACGGGGACAGGAGATAGCTCGGGGAGGGACACGTCGACCTTCGGTCGGCGGCCGTGCCTCGCCGGCAGAGCGGCGACAGGCCCCCGACAGCCAAAAACTCCGCACGCTCCTGCGAGGGGCGGGCCACGAGGGTCCCGATCGGCGGTCCACGGGCGATGCGGGGGTGGATGCACCCCCCCCTGAGCGTAAGTCGGGCACGTCCCTCTACAGGAGGAACATTCAAAAATACTCCGAAAGCACAAATATGGGGACGACGTTTTGACTATGCGTTCTGGCCATGTTGGGGGTAGTGTTTGACTACTTTTTTTTGTTCGTCCACAGTCCGCCTGTGGGGGGACATGCCCGACCTAACCCTGAGCCTCATCCCCTCTTAACATTATCCCTGACGGCCCGATCTTGCAGTTGCCGTAACTGTCCTTCTTCTTCACGGTCAGTGACGCCGTGCCGAGGTCGCGATGATAGGGGAAGAAGCGCCAGCAAACACATAAACTTTCGGAGCTCCGCGCGGACTTCTTGGATCGGCGCCGGGCCTCCTTGGTGGCGCCTCCGGCGCCGCCCCTGGCGCGCACCGCGCGCCACGGGAGGGGGGTCCAGCGCCGACCCAAGAAATCCGCATGGAACTCTGAACAGTTATGCCTGTTATACGTTCTCTCTCCTTCGAGATTCGGGCTGGGCGAAAGGGGGGGATAGCAAAGGGGGGGGTGAGAATCAGCTCACGTAGCTGATTTTCCCGGCGCCTCCCAGCGCCGGAGGCGGCCATGTGTCGAGGAATGGGCCCATCGGTGGGGCCGAAACCAGCTGCATGCAGCAGGTTTCGTAACCCCCCCTTTCCCTATCCCCCCCTTTCGTCTGGCCCGAGAGATAGCGACTGCCTACCAGATCACCCCAACCCAACCCGAAGACCCGAATTGGACCCGAATTTCGGGTTGGGGGGGGTACGGGTTCCGTGTGTTCTTTCAATGCTCCCCGACCCCCCCCCTGGAAATGGAGGGCAAACTGAAGCCTTCGGGTTGGGTTGGGGTGGTTTGGTGGGTGGTGAGACAGTCCCGCTGTTATGCTTGCTACAGTCAACCCGTGCAGTAAGGATGCGCAATGAGGATGCACGCGCCTTGGACGCCCAATTCGAAGCTCTTCGAGCGGGGCGCGGCCAGCGAACGTGGCGAAGGATGGACCGAGGGGGCAGGGATGCAAGGGGCACCCCGTGGGAAGGCCGCCCATCCTTACTGTGCGGGTCGACTGTGCGCGCTTCCTCTCCCTCGAGATAGTCCCGCCGCGTCGCGAACGCCCACGCCTCGTAGTGCATGACGGAGCGGAGGCGGGCCAGGTGGCGACGGCGGCGGGGCTCCCCCGCCCGGCCGGGAGGCCGGGCACGGCCGGCCCCTCCTGACCTCTCGGGGAAGGGGCCTCTCGGGACGCACCCAGGAGTGCACACGGAATCCCAGGCCTCCAGGAGGCCTGCAAGTGATGCAAAGCGCCAGGGAGGGGGAGGAGGAGGAGGAGGAGGAGGGAGGAGGAGGAGGAGGAGGAGGAGGAGGAGGAGGAGGAGGAGGAGGAGGAGGAGGAGGAGAGGAGAGGAGGAGGAGGAGGAGGAGGGGAGGATGGAGGAGGAGGAGGAGGAGGAGGGAGGAGGGGAGGGGAGGAGGAGGGGAGGAGGAGGAGGAGGAGGAGGAGGAGGAGGGAGGAGGAGGAGGGCGGAGGAGGACGAGGGAGGGCCAGAGCGGGAACCATAGGGGGGACCAGCTCGAGGGGGGAACCTTTTGAGCCTGAATCGGCGATACATCGCCGATAGTTCAGCGATACAGTCGGACTTCATTGGACAGGACACGCGAGAGGACAAAAGACCTTTCCGAGGGCCACATTGCCACAGGAATGCAGGAGGCACGGGTCGCGAGACACAGACCCCAAAGGTCCCCAAAGGTACCCTTGACTTGGCAGGGTCGGCCTACTAATTCGGGCAGACTGTGTGCCCCATTTGGCCAAACGGGACATTCCCTGGAGGGGTGGGCTATCAGGCCCCTTATCGGACATGAGTGGGCGATTGGGGGTCGATGGGTTCCCCCTTGAGCCGATCCCCCTCCAACATTGCCCCTGAAGACCGCCGATGTCTCGACTGGCCCTCCTCCGACTGGAAGAGAGGTCGTACGGCAGCTCCCTCAGCTTCGCGTTCCGCCACGAAGAGACCCCAAACCACCTCTGCAGGTCCGCCGCCGCTGCTGTGCCGCCGGCAGTGTGTTTGGACGCCCTGAATTGCACGAGTCCTGCGAGCTGTAATGAGATGCTCGTTCTGGGAACTTCCTGGAGCCAGTCGATCCATTCAGCTGCGTCGAACTTGAATCGAGCTAGAATCGAAGCAGAATCGAACGGATCCGCTAGGTGGACCCAAGGAAGGTTCCCAAAACGAACATAACTTCCAAAGACTCCAGTGCACGCAGCGAGGCCAACATTCGTCCGTCCCCCCAAAGTCCCAGATCTCCGACGATATTTCTTATCCTGGCGATTTTCTCGATTTCGGCCTACAAGGCCCACCATCGGGCCCCAGGACAATCCAAAGCGGATCAGGGACGAAAAACTGTCTCTGGGGAAGCGGTCGAGATCCCTGGGGCGCGGATTGAAAACCACATCGACGGCTGCCATGGGTCTGCGCGGAGGCTCCTGCCATCTTGAAGGCATGACGTCCAACGCAAGGCCTGCCTGTCGGGCAAGACGAAATGGGGGGATGGTACAGGGCAGGGTTGGGAATCAACTAACATGAAGTGGGGATTGGAAGCTTCGTCGCTGCTGGGAGCACTGGAGCGGCATCAACCGTGATCCGAGCATGCGCCGTCGGCCCATGGAGCGCTTTTTTCGCGGCCATAACGGGCGTCATGGGGGGGGCGGAGCGGGGGGGCGGGAGGGAGGCATAACGTAACGACCCCCCCCGCCGTGTGGTTCCGGCACCAGAGCGCCTGCGCGCGTCATGGCAAGCACAGCAGTGCGCGGCACAGAGTATGCCGCGCCGCAGCCGCGTGCACCACATGCCCTATGTACTGCGCAGTGCGTACGTGCAGCACCGCAGTGTTTTTTCCCCACACTCTCCTTCGAGCATTATTATGTGCTGGTGTTTGCTGAGAACGACGACGACGACGACGACGACGACGACGACGACGACGACGACGACGACGACGATGAGGACGAGGACGGGGACGGGGACGGGGACGACGACGAAGACAACGATAACGACGAGGACGACGAGGACGACGAGGAAGACGAGAACGAGGACGAGGACGACGAGGAAGGGGACGAGGACGAGGACGAGGACGAGGACGAGGACGAGTACGAGTACGAGCACGAGTACGAGTACGAGTACGAGTACGGCGACGACGGTCGCCTCTGAAGGGTTCTGGAGGTCTCCAGAGGTCTACGGAGGTCTCCGAAAACCTCTGGTGGCGTCTGCAGGCCCTTCGAGGCCCTCGGTGAGGACGACGACGACGACGACGACGACGACGACGACGACGACGAGGACGACGACAGGGACTAGACGAGGGCGGGGACGAGGACGAGGACGACGATGACGACGAGATCGAGATTGAGGACGAGGACGAGGACGACGACCACGACCACGACCACAACCACGACGACGACGACGACGACGACGACGACGACGACGACGACGACGGCCTCCTCTGAAGGTCTCCGGAGGTCTCTGGAGACCGAAGGTCTCCGGAATCCTCTCGTTCTCGTCGTCGTCGTCGTCGTGGTCGTCCTCATCGTCGTCGTCGTCCTCCTTCAACTCCTCCTCCTCCTCCTCCTCCTCCTCCTCCTCCTCCTCCTCCTCCTCCTCCTCCTCCTCCTCCTCCTCCTCCTCCTCCTCCTCGCTCTCCCTGTCCTCGTCCTCGTCGGCGATGGCCTCGAAATGCCTAGACCCTAGACGCCTCCAGAGCGGCGACGAGGACGAGGACGAGGACGACGAGGACGACGACGACGAGGACGACGACGACGACGACGACGATGATGACGACGACAACGCCGACGACGACGACGACGACGACGACGACGACGACGACGACGACGATGACGGTCGCCTCTGAAGGGTTCTGGAGGTCTCTGGAGGTCTACTAAGGTCTCCGAAGATCCCTGGAGGAGTCTGGAGACCCTTCGAGGCCCTGGGTGACAACGGCGACGACGACGACGACGAGCACGACGACGACGACGACGACGATGACGACGACGGCGACGAGGACGAGGAGGGCGAGGACGACGACGAATTGAGACGAGGGTGAGGACGACGACGACGACGACTAAAACGACGACCACGACGAGGACGATGCCGACGCCGACGCCGACGCCGCCGACGACGACGACGACGACGGCGGCAACAACGACGACGACGACGACGACGACGAAACATCGACGACGACGACGACGACGACGACGACAACGACGACGAACGACGACGACGACGACGACGACGACGACGACGACGACGACAAGGACGACGACGACGACAAGGACGACGACGGCAAGGACGACGACGACAAGGACGACAAGACGACGACGGCCCTCTCCGAAGGTCTACAGAGGTCTCCCGAGTCCTCGGGAGGTCTCGCTCGAGACAGCAGGCCGCCTGCCCAGCAGGGGCCGCTGGCCGACTCTGCACCACGCGGCCCGTCGAGGCCACCGCCTCCCACCCCTCCCGCACGCACCCCGGGCACCCGCGCCGACGGCCGAGGCCCCTCGACGCTGGCCGACGGGCAGGCAGGCCGCCCGCGGCCCGCCGAGCAGCCCCGCGCGCCCGCGCCGCGGCAGGCCGCCGCGCCGACACGACGCGAGCCCACCGCGGCCCGCCCCCCTCAAGTTAGGCCGGGCGTGTCCCCCTCGAGGGGGGGCATCATCTCGGACAAAGCATACAAGATATCCCAGACATGCCCCACAGATGCCCGAAAAGACCCCCCCCCCAAAAAAAATGGTCCCTGGGCTATATTGGGACTATTTTGGGGATGTTCCTCCTGTAGAGGGGCAGGCCCGACTTGACCCTGAAGCGGAAGCAGCACCGGGCACGTCTGGCGGCTGCTCCGGGACGCAGCGGGCGCCGCGGCCGCTCCAGGAGCGCTCCGAGAGATCGTTCCGAGACGCTCTCCAGCGACTTGTCCCGAGCCCGGGCCCGCTTCCCCTCGACCCGGCCTCGGCACGGCGCGCTGGCGGATGCGCGCGACAGCGCGGCCGGATTGGCCGGGACGTTCTCGAGGTGCGCCTCCACGTACTCGTCCCGGTCGAAGCGCTCGTGCTCGTGGTGCAGGCCGAGCACGTGCCCCAGCTCGTGCAGCGCCGTGCCGACGTGCCAGCACCCCTCGGCCAGGTTCATGTTCTGCCAGTCGGCCCCGTGGTAGCCCGCGTGGGCATTACAGCCGGCCTTGTCAGAGCCGATGCTCGAAGGAGGGCCAGTCGAGACAACGCCGGCCATCCCTGCCGTTGTTCGTCCTTTCTGGGCTCCTGGAGACTGGATCTGCCTCGGAAAACGGGCCAGGATGACCCGGGAGGGGTCTGGGGATGGCTCTCGAAAAAATTGGGCCAGGCAGGAGACCCGCCGTTGTCTCAGCTGGCCCTCCTCCGAGATGCGCACGGGGTAGGTCTTGGGGCAACCCTCCACGGTGCAGGTCACCTCCTCGAAGCGAACGCAGGACTTCCGCTCCCATATTCGCATCGCTGTCAGAGCGGCCTTGGGGCAATCAAAAGGTGCCGATACCGCTACTCCCCAGCCCTCTCCCGGGTGTGGCGACGAGGTCGTCGCAGGAGGCGGCCCAAAAAAGGGGAAAACGAGGGAAGGGCAGCGGTATGGGTACCTTTTCCTCCTCTTAGGCCTCCTTCGCCTTCGCATGCGTCCCATCTTTCCAGACGTACAGGACGACTCCACCTGGCCAGGGCTGGCCAACTGCTCCGGCACCCGCCTCCAGGAGAGACGAGACGTTTGCGCCGGGGGGCAGCGACACGTCTCCCTGGTAGCAGTCGGGGCACGTCTCCTCGGAATGCACGACGTGCCCCAGCCGCATCGTCTCCTCCTGGTCGATCTCCTCGACGGTGGTCCACTGGTCCAGGGAAGAGTCTGGCATTAGGTCGGGCATGTCCCCCTACAGGCGGATTTTCGACGAAAGGTGAAACATAGTAATTTAAAAAATGAAAAATGTTTCGTCTTGTATTCTTTATCTACCATGTATATATGTAACTATGTGATTTTTACCCAACACACAAAAAAAAAAAAAAAAAAAAAAAAAAAAAAAAAAAAAAAAAAAAACTCCCCGGAAAATCTATTCTTGAAGATTCCTCCTGTGGAGGGGCACGCCCGACGGAAGTCTGGCACTTCCTCGACGCCGGCCCCTCGCTGGGGGAAGGAGGGGAGGGGAGGAGGAGGAGGAGGAGGAGGAGGAGGAGGAGGAGAGGAGGAGGAGGAGGGAGGAGGAGGAGGAGGAGGAGGAGGAGGAGGGAGGAGGAGGAGGGAGGAGGGGGAGGAGGAGGAGGCGGAGGAGGAGAGAGGAGGAGGAGGAGGAGAGGAGAGGAGGATGAGGAGGAGGAGGATGAGGAGGAGAGGAGGAGGAGGAGAAGCAGGGGCGCCGGGTCCGCCACGCGGCGCCCCACCGCCGTGCGCCACGGGGGGAGCAGCCAGAGAACCAGGAGCGGGCAGGAGAACGCCATGGACGCTTGCATTGCTCAAACCAACGACTCGCTCGAACTGGTCGTGTCCACGAGAGGAGGAGGAGGAGGAGGAGGAGGAGGAGGAGGAGGAGGAGGAGGAGGAGGAGGAGGAGGAGGAGGAGAAGGAGGAGGAGGAGGACGAGGAGGACGAGGAGGAGGAGGAGGAGTGGGAGGGGAGGCGAGAAGGTGGAAGAGGACCGTGGGGCGCGGAGGACCAGGGATCTCCCCGGAGGGTCGATGAAATGTGCAGGAAGGGCAAGAGAGCGCTCCATCTGGCCGAGAGGTCGGCCATCTTGGTCCTCGTCGCCGTCGTGTGTGACCCGCCTGTGGGAATACAGTCGGGGCGTTGACCTCAGGAACCCTAAATAAGGAACGAGGCCCCTTTTTTCCATAAGTTAAACTTCGATTTACCATTGAAAACCTAAGGAAAACCCAAGTCAAACTGCAAAACAATCAAGGACCACCGAGCCCCTCCCCAACGAACAGGGTTCCTTCTTCAGGGCCCCGACTGTATGCCCCCCTTGTAGACACCTCGGAGGCCCTCTGGAAGCCTCCGGGCGTGGCTGCTGAAGGACCGCTTCTCACGGCCGACCGATCGAGCTGCCCGCGTGCTCGGACCTGCCAGGCCGAGCCCCAGCCAGGCCGAACCCCACCCGCGTGGGAGGGGAGCCCGCCCTTCACTCGCTCACCTCTCGAGTGGAGGCTCTGCTGCATCGTTGAGAATGCTCATAACTGAACGGGAGAAACACACATTTTGCTTCACTTCTTTGGTTTGGGGGACTGGGGGCGCGCGCGAAGTACATGTCCAAACAAGATGGCCTCACGATGCCGAGCTTGGGGCAGGGGCAGAGGGCGGGGCCGGACGGGAGTCGCTCGGAGCGCCCCCGGGACGCAGGAAGCGCGAGCATCGAGCTGGACCCGTTCCCCCCCAACACCGCCTCGGGATCACCCCGCCCCCCCCTGCCACGCACCTACTGCCCCCGATCACTGCCTCGGGCCGTGCGCCGAAATAACTGCGGCCGGGCGGCCTCCTGAGGCCCCTGGGAAGCCGTCCGCAAGCCCCGGGAGCCTCCCGGGCGCCCCGAGGTCCGGAGCGCCGAGAGAGGGGGCTGGGAAGAGGGGGGGCTAGAGCATCCTGGCCCGAGCGAACGAAGCTAGGGGGCCGGGGAGAGCGCTGGAAGAAGGGGGGGAGTCGGAGTACTGATAAGAAGAAGAGGCCAGCCACGAAATCCATCCAACCTTCGGAGTGTGTGAAACGCTTTTCCGTTTGAGTCGTCGTCGCCGTCGTCGTCGTCGCCGCCGCCGCCGCCACCGTCGTCGTCGTCGTCGTCGTCGTCGTGGTCGACGTCGTCGTCGTCCTTGTCGTCCATCGCCGTCGTCGTCGTCGTCGCCGTCGTCGTCGCCGTCGCCGTCGCCGTCGCCGTCGCCGCGGTCGTCGCCGTCGCCGTCGCCGTGGTCGTCGTCGTCGTCGTCGTCGCCGTCGCCGTCGCCGTCGCCGTCGACCGTCGCCGTCGCCGTCGCCGTCGCCGTCGCCGTCGCTGTCGTCGTCGCTGTCGTCGTCGTCGTCGCCGTCAGTCCTCAGGAAATACAAGGACACGAACATTGAAGACCATCGAACGTCGTAGTTAAGTTCCGCCCCAACCCCTACCCCTCGAGCGCGCCGCCAACTCTGGGACCCTCGAGGGGTCCACGAACCTGGTACGGAGCTCGAGTCAAGCTGTGCCGACCTCGCAGATGTGCTGAAGCGGATTTTTGAGTGGATTTCCGTCAAAGCAAAACCCCGAAACGGCGGGTAAAAAACGAAGTGAATGTTGCGTGGATTGTTGTTTAGTCTGCATTCCTGGCCAAACAAAAATCCGCGCGAAATTCACCTCGAAATGTGGAACGAAATTCTCCAGGACACTCTGGGCTCGTAGTTTTCCGAATGGAATCCGCTCTGCGATGTCGGCGGCATGACATGTCTGATTTACTCTGGTGTGCCACGGTGCGGTATGCTGCCTGTACAAAACTGTGCTTTGCTGTGCAACGTAATGCTATGCCTTGCCGTGTAGGGCTGCCTGGGCGTTTCGTATGAGACTTCGTCCCGATGCTCGTCGGTGCGATGATCTCTGCTATTGGGCATCCCAAATCCCCCTGAAGCAGACGACTGTAGGCAGCGAGCAGGACGTCGGAAGTTGCACATCGCTCCCTTCCCACCACCTCTCCCCCTCATCCCTCGCCATCCTCCTCCCCTTCCCCAACGGCTCCCAACTTCGCGCTTCGCGCTGCGCGAGAGCGCGAAGTGCGAATAACTTCGCGCTCTCGCGCCGCCTCCCAGGGGAGAAGAGGAGGACGGGGAGGAATCGGAGCCGAACCGCGCAGCGCGAAGCGCGAATACCTTCGCGCCCTCGAGGGCGACCTTGTTCCCCTCCTCCCTCGCCCCCCCCTCCTCTTCCCACTTCGTGTCGTCCTCTCTCGCACCCTCTCCCCCTCCCCCTCCTCCTCCCCTCCCCCTCCCCCTCCTCCTCCTCCTCACCTCCTCCTCCCTCCTCCTTCCTCCTCCTCCTCCACTTCCTCCTCCACTTCCTCCTCCCCTCCTCTTCTTCCTCGTCCTCCTCCTCCTCCTCCTCCTCCTCTTCCTCCTCCTTCCCCCTCCCCCTCCTCCACCTCCTCCTCCTTCTCCACCTCCTCGAGGATGGCGGACGTTCTCTTGCTCGGCGTTTCGACATTGGGCGCAAAGGGGGGGGGGAGGGGCGGGGGGGGGTCTGGCTCTGGACCCCTGCCTCGCGCCACCGTTTGCAGCAGCGCGTCCGCGTGGAACGAGCGCCCAAGACGGCCAAGATCTGCTCCACGGGGGGGGGGGCGAGGGCCCGCGCCGATCGGCGAAACTATGAATAAGAAAACGACAACATGGCGGGGTCTTCGAATATGTCCCTCGGACCTCGATCACTTTGCATAGCTTGTGACAGGGACAGCGGGGAGGCTGCTGGCACATTGCATCTTGTGTGTAATTCCAACTCTCCCCCATCCACTGCGACAAAAAAAACAAAGTGCCCGTTACACCAAATTGGGCAAACTACGCAAGCACAGACCCTGGGAATGCTCCACTAAATCAACGAATAATCTAAAACTGGCGTGTGCAATTCGACCCCTCCTCCTCCTCCCTGAGCACCCTGCTCCCAGCCTCCCCCCGGGTCTTCGTCCCCCCCCCCCCAACCGCCTCCTCCCTCTTCCGTCCTCATCCTGCTCCGTCTCTCATCCTGCTCCCCCCTTCAGTCCTCCTCCTCATCCTCCTCTCGCCCTCCCCTCGCCCTCCTCCCCCTGCGACACTGCATCACAAAAACTCCGAATCCCCAACACGCGAACGGCGAAGCCACGAACTCAAGCAACAGAAACGAAACAGGATCCATCATTATCCCCCTCCTCCTCCTCCACCTCCTCCTCCTTCTCGTCCTCCTCCTCCTCCCCCCCTTCCTCCCCGCCTCCTCCTCCTCCTCCTCCTCCTCCTCCTCCTCCTCCTCCTCCTCCTCCTCCTCCTCCTCGTCCTCCTCCTCCGTCGTCCGCAGCGTCATCACCATCATCAGCCGCAGCATCAGTATCAGCATCAGCAGCATCATCACCATCACCATCACCATCACCATCACCATCATCATCATCATCATCATCATCATCATCATCATCATCATCATCATCATCATCATCATCATCATCATCATCATCATCATCATCATCATCATCATCATC